AATTTCAGCAATATCTTTACATCTACGCTGGGAGATATCGAATGTGGTATCGAATGATCACTTTGCGCGCGCGCGCGAGTCATACGTTGAAAATTATTGACTTTATTGCTTTCTCTGACGTTGTCGCGTCAAGCTTGAGATTTCAACTATCATGCGATACTTGGAAAATATCACAAATATAAAATGTCGTGGTAAATTATTCATACGGCTAATATTTATACGAAACGGGGAGCAAATACTTCATAATTACTTGCAGCTTAGATTTTTTTTAAGGTATGAATGTCAAACGTAATGTTGCAGTGACGTAGCTGCAGTAATTAATATCGCGTTGCTTTGAGGAGGCAATTCTGCTCGTGCATTTTAGGATTTTTATGATTCAAGCATCTAGCAAAAAATATCTCGCAAAAACTAATATCCATAAAATTTTAGGAAAAAGATAAAATTTCATAAAAGGTGAAGTTGATTATTATTTAACAAATATTTTATTTTTGATTTTAAATAACATATAGAGCGATCTCTAAATTAAATTATTCGTATAACTTTATTGGATACACACAACTTGCTTTTTCAATTAAGTCTGTGACAATTTTTGTAGAATATAATGTGGAAGAGAAAGGGGAGGAGTGATTTATCGAATTTATGGGATTAATGAATTTGTTCATCGATATTTTCAAAGCTCGAGCTAGTATATCTTTACCTTGACTCGCGTAATAATAAACTCTTTATTATAGCTTTACGGTTTTATCGCCGATACGCTGCTTTCTTTCGACATTCCGTGTCTTTAAAATACGCTCGCAGACAACGAGCAAACAGACATAATTCGCGTGACGCAGCGAGCGCATCCACTTTGCACCTTCTTAACGCGAACACAACGAAAAGTCACAGTCATCGCTAAATTTAAAAAACATCATTCGGGTGGATCGCACGATCAACGCGAGATCACTTTTACGTATCAGCGTCAGCAAGTAGTCTCGTCGCGAAGGCCTCTCCTCTCCGACTTCCTCTCTCCACATCTATCATAGATGCTTTCTGAAATAGGAAGGACGCGGGTTATCTCGTATCGGCGATACTCTTCCACCGGATAATCGGAGTTGTTATCGGCGCTAGAAATTTTTCTCACGTACACACACGGTTTGTGTGTGTGTGTGTGTGTGTGTGTGTGTGTGTGTATGTGCGCATACTTCAGACGTCGCGACGCGACGCGTTGTTTTTCGCCTGGTTGCGGAGATCGTCGCGATAAGTTTTTTTGAAACTGGTTTAATGCTCGTGACAGCCGAAGCACGCGGGTTTGTTTCTGCCGAGGTACTCCCGGTAATGGCGACATGCACCACCACCGGCGAATCGCGTGTGTGACATTAATGCGAGGTTACCGAAGCGAGCACGCTCCATGATAGATTCCATCCGGCTGTATCCCAAACACGACTTCCTCCGCGATTCCGCCCGTCATTTATTCCGCTCGAAAATTTTTTCTGGTATCGCCAATTTGCATTATGACACTTTCTCGCGACAATCCGGATTGTAATCGAATACAGAATCGTAAGCGTAGCTTCGCGTTTGGTATCCCATTCGTTTCCAGCATTTTCAGAGTATCATCGATTATTAGAAACTTCGTGAGAATTTACATATTTTGTACATTTTATAAAAAAAGCGTTTGAATTTTAAAAATATAGCCATGATTCTTAGATTCTCTTCGCTTCTATTTTCTCAAATCCTTAATTTATCAGACTTTTGAATCTTGTATTCTTGATTTTTATCGGATTTTGATATTTATAGTCCTTTAAATCATCGAATCCCCGTTGCGACTGATCTTCCTTTTTCACAACCGTTGATATATTTAAATTTTGACTTTTGCTACAAATCGCATAGCCACTATCTTCACATACGCACACACATACACAGTATCTTTATACAGTAATATATATCTAGAAGAAACACGTTCGTTAATTGAGACTCGGATTAATGATCGACCTGGCATTCCATAGTGATTGCTATCTACCGAGTGTAGGGAGAAAAATGCCAATAAATCGTCCGTGTAATGCCGCTATCAACATGTATTACGTGAATGACGCGATCTTTGATAAATCGCCACATGCAAATCACATCGGAGAGCGGATCATTTTCTCGGTAGCCTTTCGTGGCTAATTATTACAAATGGTCTCTAATCGATTGAACGGGAAAAAAGTATTTGCGTCGTATTACGGCACGCAAAGCGAGATTCTTTTTTTTTCCGGAAAATGTTTTTATGCGAGAAATCTGACGACGGCGGCCAAACGGAAAACCTCCTGGAACAACTGCATTTTTCTCTGATGGATTATTTTATATTGAAATTTAAGCTTATGGAGTCTCTATATAATTTGTTTTGTTTTAGAATTTATAGATTTACTTTTATTTTTTCAAAGTTTGTTATACTTTTAATTTTATTAAATCTTCACATTTTTTTACGATGTTTGAACGTTTTACGGAAAAATTTTTCTTTCGAGACGACAAATATTTCTGAATATATAATTATCGTTAAAACCAGGTGTTTTTCGCTGTGTAGGAAAATTGATTGTTATCGAGGGAAAGATACCTTTTCATTTAGCTATCAGCTGCCCATCCATAATAAATTATCCATCCGTGTTCGATGCCGGCACAATGTATTTATGGTTATTTATGTATTTGTCTCGTGCGCGAATGATCATGGTGAGAACATGTCCCATCGACGAGGTGCGCTCTTACGATTGTAATCTACAATGTGTCGTAAACTCCTACGGACACAATTCGCTGGAATAAAACGCGTGCCCGCATCGAGCCGTCGTCTTCCCGCATCATGCGCGACGATGAATAAAATAAACATGCCGAAGGCGGAATTCACGTTCCACGAAGGCACTTTAATAAAAGTTCACAATCGGTCTGATTATGAATCGATGATAATCCAAAATTGTAAGAATATCCGATCGCGTTCGTTTGTGGAATAAGAGACGACGGGAGATCGCTCGCTTGACAATAGCGATTTTCTCGAGCGCGGGCAAAAGATCCGTCCGCGTTGTTCACACGCGTCCCGTTTCCCGGCAGATCGAGATAATCGAGTTTTCCCGAGAGGTTTTAAATGAAGAAATCGAGAAAGCCGCGCTCGTCGGAATAAGTTATCCGCTCGGACGTACGCGCGACAGGTTTATCGGATACGGCCGTGTCCGCGGATATACGCATACCCATACGCGCGTCGCGCGTAATGCTGCGCATCGATCTACGTATTACACGTGGGACCGTTGGCCCGCGTATGCGTGTATGCGTAAGCATGGGGACCGAAGCCGGTCGCGCGAACGGGACTTAAAAGTTAGGGCCGGCGAGAAGGGCCCGAAAATGCCCAAAGACTCTCCCGGGCAGCCACCTGCAGCCGTTAAGTCTCAACAGTTGCGGCACCGCGCAGCCGCCTCCATATTTCATATTAGCGATAATATATAAGTCCGTCGCTACCGTCGCACTCTCCCTTTCTCTCTCCAGTTTTCTATCTCTTTCCTTCTCGCGCGCGCACGCCTCACGTTTCACCAGTCGTGTTCCATCCGCGAGAGGCCCTCGCCTCTCTTTCTAGGATCATTCCCGATCCGTATGCTAACGAGCCCGGCTCTGACCGGCTCGATTTTGATAATTAGCGGCTCATCGTTCATCGCCCGGAGGCCTATTGAATTCACATTTGTGTTTCCGAAAGTGTTTATATTACAAATGCGCACGCGATAATGTAATTTCTCTTTAATTTTGGGATTTCCCTCTGGAGGAATTTTGGGTATTCTCGTAGCTTGCAAGATACCACGTTTTATCCTCAACGTCTAATTATTCTCTCTTTCTCTCTCTCTCTCTC